CCTCCTCTAGTGTGAAGAGCAGCTTGCATGAAAGAGACTTTCTCCTGGAGACGTGTTTGGGGACAGCCATCGGGCACTACCCTGGTTTTGGCTGCAGGTAGGCACAGAATATGGGTCCACTTAGTTTTGCAGCTCTGATCAGGGCAGGCGCTGCCTGAGTGTCTCAGTGGCCCATGCTGTCTCAGTGGCCTGTGTTGCTGGGTGTGTGGGACTGCCTTGCTTGGTAGGATGCAGCCTCTTCAGCATGGTGGGTTTCTTGATGGTTCAGAGCATGGTACGTCTGGCTATGGGCATGAGGCCCTGTCCCTTTCCCAGGACTGTGCAGGGATGGTGCCGCTCTGGAAGGCCCAGCGGGCACACTGTCAGTATCTGAGGCTGTCACAAGCAGTTTCCATGCAGATCACCACTGGGAGAGCTGGACTGGGGAGGGCATACCCCAAGCTGGCCTCTGTATTCAGGCAAGTGGCAGATTATCCTCAGAGCTGCCCTCTGGGGTCAGGGCCTGTGAGGCTGCAGGCTTCTCCAGAAGCAGACATTCTAAGAACTTGAGAGGCCTCCTGCTCACCTTCCCCACCCTGCACAATCCCTCGGGTTCAAAGCTGATCTCAGTTGAAGCAGTGGCTTGGTAGCTGTTGTGGGCTTAGTTCCTGAACTCATTGTGTGTCCCTGAACCCTCTCTGTAACATCTCTACTTTACCCTTGTCACTGTCCTCAAATACAATCGTAGAAATGTCATTGTTTGTTTTGGTCCTTGTTGTGGCAAGTTGTGCACCAGGCACAGTCAGTCAGTCACCTTGGCAATGTCTGTCTTCATGTTTCTGCCTTGCTTTCCCTGAGATCTGGGGCTGGACCCTGGAAATCTCGTGTCATTCGCTGCAGCAGGGTTTTCGTTCCTACTATGAAGTAAGACTGTTTTGTTTGTTAATTGCTGCTACGATGTGGAACACTTAGTTGGCAAATCAGTTATTTGAGAGCTTCTGAGAGCTAAGGATAGAACCCGTTCCAAAATGTTAGCTTAAAATAACATTATAATGAAACTACCCAGCTCTCCAGAGGTAAAGATACTCCCTTGGCTCAGAGTCCTAGCAGGTGACTAGTAGTGCAGTAGGGTGGACTGGATTGTGATGCAATAACCAGCCGCTTGCCAGGCTCAGGCTCCCTGCACTGTGTGACACAGGCAGGGCGCAGGTCCTGCCCCCCTCATCTTCACTCCAGGACCCTCCCCAGGTGGCAGGCCTGCCTGGGATGTTGCTCATCAAGGCAGAGGGGAAAGTGGGATGGTGAACAACAAGCTGCTTCTTAATGCTTCTACCCAGCAAAGTAGGACCCAAGGCCACTCCTGAGTGCAGCAGGACGGTGATGCAGTTGGGCGGTGACCGGGCCCGCAGTAATGCTGTGACTGTCCCTGCAGGTACGCATGGACACGGCAGTATGCAGGCCGGTTGCCTCTCCAGCCCACCTCGACGCTCCCGCTTCCGACGTGGTCGCAGTGCTTCAGCAAAGGATGAGGATCGTGGAGGCGCAGACCAGCTCCCTGCGGGATGACCTGATAATGCTGGGCTGTGGGGACAGAAGGTAACGAAGGGCGAAGGGCAGGGAGCCAGGTCTCTGGACAGTGACGAGCTGTGCTCTGCCGCTGAGCACTCAGGCATCACGGAGGTTGGCAGGAGAGCCGGGTGTAGGACAGCAGAGAGCAGCAGGGCCCCCTTGAGCACAGTTAGAAAGACAAATGGAATGTTTCCTATAATTAATAGATTTAGTTCTTATTTTTAAACCAGTTGAGGGGAAAATCTAAAGTGTTGCTCATGCCATTCATTTGGTCTTTACTTTTCTCTCGCATATTTATTACAAGTTAAAAGACAAGCTTCAGATCTTTAAGATTCCACAGTTGGAATGGCACCTTTTCCCCCTGGTACGGCTAGACAGTTGTTGACTGTAAAGGTTGGGTGATCTGTGGCCCAACGGATCTGGTGTTCATGGATCAATATGGAATGTCTTGATGCATTTAAAAAAAAAAAACATTTCTTGGGCTAGGGTGATAGCATGGTGGTCTGAGCACCTGCCTGGCAAGCACAAGGTCCCAAGTTCAATCCCCAATACCGCATGCCGTGCCCCATGCAGCCCTGAAACTGAGTGTGGGAGTGCACGGTTGTAATCCTCACACTGGGGAGGCTGAGACAGGAGGATCACTACAAGTCGAAACTGTGAACAAGACCCTATCTCCCCCACCAAAAAAAATTATTGAATACCTCATTAGGACATAATAATAATGTATAATTATTAACATTCAAAATAAATAACTCTTTAGCATTTAAAGATTAGATTTGGTAAGCCAGGCATGGTGGCATATGCTGATTCCATGAGTGACTCCAGCACTCAGGAGGCAGAGGCAGGAGGATCACTGCATGTTTAAGGTCAGCCTGGGTTACATAATGGGACCCTCTCTCAAAAAAGCAAAAGCAAAAACATTTTAAAGAAATTTGGTGTAAATATTGAATATGTTGGAAAAAATAATAAAAATGATTGACTTTAAAATTTTCTAAAACATGTGCATGTGTTACCCCATGCTAACGTTGTCAGTTCAGTGTTGCAGAACATATTACATGTTTTAACATGTAGAAGAAAGCTTAGGAAAAGTCCACATTAGAGTAGGCCCTGCTGTAGGCAGTGATCCTCTGGCCCACTCGGGACTCAGCCTCTCTGCCCGTTAGTGCTGCATTTGAATTTGGAGAGGCGAATAAATGCTTGTTACTGAAGGCTTCAAGTTGGTTTTTGTTTTATCCTTTTCTTAAACTTACTTTTATTTTTAATTGACAAATAATGGTGTGGATTTGTGGATATTTTAATGACAGACTCTCATAGCGAACCCAGCCCCAAAACCACTGTTGGGGTGGCCAGGGTGGAGCCTGGGAAAGGGGTCAGCCTCCACTTTGGGGGGCTAGGTGCAAGCATAGGGCTTCAGGCACACAGCCTCAGGGTCCCGGGCCACATGCTCCAAGGGAGGTCAGGCAGCACGGGCCTGGACGGAGGCCTGGAGGCAGCTCCGGCCTGTCCACTCAGGTTTCCTGCAGGGGGCTTTGTCCTCTGGGTCTCCAGGAGGGGTCACCCTGGGCTGCGAGGTGGTTGCTTTTATAAAAGGATGTTTCTGCTTAAAGGAGGCAGCAGGAAGCACGAGCCCAGTCTGTTGGGCAGAAAAGACACCTTGGGTGTTTATTGCTGGCCCAGCTGGAGCCTTTCCTGGGGGGCAGCATTGGAAACTCTCGGGTGTGACTGAGCTCTGCTTCTGGTGTGAGAAAATTAATCTGTGTTTAAATTGAATTGTGTGTGAAATGGGCCTGGTGGTGCACATCTATAATTCTAGCCCACACCTGTAATTCCAAGCACTCAGGAGGCTGAGGCAGGAGCTTACCACAAGTTTAAGGCCAGCTTGAGCCACATAGTGAGTTCAAGGCCAGCTTGAACTATATAGTGAGACCCTGTCTCAAAAAATAAAATAAAATGAATGCTGAAGCAATAAAAAATCGTAAGTCCTGACCACAGTGGGATATATTGATGTCATGATGCACATATACACTGTGGATTGATTAAATCAGGATAACTATCATATTTACCTACACCTCACATACTCATTTCTGTGGTAAAAACATTTAAAATTTACTCATTTAACAATTTAAAAATACTGTATATAATACATAATTATTAACTATTGTCACCATATTGCATAATGGATCACAGGAACTTATTCCTCTATTGCAATACAAAAAAATCAGACCTAGGAACTAGGAATGGAGCTCAATAATAGTGTTTACAACCATGTACAAGGTCCCAGACTAAAAGGAAAGAAAGAACAGAAGGCTGAAGGAAAGAAAGAAGAGGGGAGGAGAGAGAGGGAGAGGTGGGGACGGATGGGGAGGGTAGGAGGAGGGAGGGAAAATTCCTCTCACCTGAAATTCTGTGCCCTTTCGCAAATTTCTCCCCTTCCTATCATCAGCCTCCATCTAACTTCTGATAGTCACTAGTTATTCAGTTCCATCGCTGAGTTACTTTTTAAAAATCCCACATAAAAGTGAAATCTCATGGTATATTTGTCTGTGCCTAGCTTATTTCACTTAGTATAATGCCTTCTGGATTTATCTATGTTGTCACAAATGACCAAATTTCATCTTTTTGTGGCTAAATAGTATTGTTTTCTGTGTGTATTTTCCTTATCTATCACCTGCTGATGGGCGCCTGTCTCCGTCCCTCAGCTACTGTGAGTAACTGCTGTACAGTGAACACGAAGTGCACACACTGATGTTTGGAGGTGCCTCTGGTGTGTGGGTCCAGTCCTTTGGCATATGTATAACCAGTTGAGGAAGGGATTGTCCTTCCTCCACTGTGTGTTCTTTTTTTTTTTTTTTTTTTTCTTGCGAAACCGGAGATTGAACTCAGGCCCCTGCACTTGCCAGGGAAGCGCTTATTCCACTGAACCATCTCCCCGGCCCCCGCTGTGTGTTCTTGTACTGGTTTTAATTCTTAGCGGTGTCTGTCCCTATGGTGGGCTTGCTTGATCACATGGTAAAGGCATCTTTAGCTTTTTGAAGAACCTGTCACTGTTTTCTAAAATGGTTGTACAAATTCATATTGTACATAGATGCAGTTTTTCCTACATCCTCATTCATGTGCTTTATCTTTCACCTTTTATTACACTACTATGTCCATTAAGTGTTATGTGGTATCTTGTAGTTTTAATTTGCATTTCCTCGACTTTCAGTGGCATTGTGCAGTTTTTCTTATACCCATTGGCCATTCGAATTCTCAAGAATTGTCTCTGTAGGATCTCTGCCCACTTTTGTTTTTCCAGTCATGATCCTGGGATGTCTTTCTGTTCATTTGCATCATCTTTAATTTCTTTCATTAGTGCTTTGTAGTTTTTGAGTACAAATTGTTTATCTCCTTGGTTAAATTTATTTTTAATTTTTTTTTTATTTTGTAGCATGTGGGAATTGTTTTCCTAGTTTGTTTGTTTTTTTCCAGGTAGTTTAATAGTAACATATGGATGCTTCCCTGGCAAGCGCAAGGGCCTGAGTTCAATCCCCGGTTCCGCCAAAAAAAAAAAAAAGTGACATATGGAAATCCAACTGAGTTTTATATGTTCATGTTTTATCTTTGTATGTTAATTTTTATATTGCATCTTGACCGTATTTTGTTAGTTTTTGGTAGAGTCTTTCATCTTTTCCACATATAATATCATGTCTTAAAAGCCAGGCATGGCGGAACATGCCTATAATCCCAACACTAAGGAGGCTGAGGCAGGAGGATTGCGATGATTTTGTTCCCCACCTGGGCTACATAAGGTGTTCAAGGCCAGCCTGGACTATATGGCAAGACCAACCTGAAAAAAAAGCATGTCTTTAGCAAAGTGAAACAATTTCACTTCTTCCTTTCTGACCTGAATGCCTTTCAATCTCTTTTCTTCCTGGTGCCCTGGCTAGGACCTTCAGCACTGTGTTGAGCAGTAGTGATGAAAGTAGGCACTTTGGTCTCATTCCTGAGCTAGAGCAGAAGGTTCCAACTTGCACCATAAAGTATGTCCTCTGTGGGACTTTCATGTATTGCTTTTGTTGTGTTGAGGAACATTCCTTTTCTTTATAATTTGCGGAGAGTTTTTATTATGGAAGGATATGGGTTTTGTCAAGTGCTTTTTCTGCAGACAGTTGAGCTTCTGACTATCCTGAGCAGGGAGTTCATTTATCCAGAAAACTTAGACCGCTGCCGGGGGGTCAGAGCGGCACTGCCCAAGCCTTGCCCCTCCTGGGTCTGTGATAACTAGCAGCTCCATACGGCAGCAGTTGGCCAGTACACCGGCAAGCTGCTTCCAGAGACACACTCAGCTTTGAGCATGCACTCAAAGGCATGCACCTCACCTTTTCCTACCCATTTGATGTGTATACTTTTCAGTCAGCCATTTGTCTCTCTCAACTCACTTCTGACTTTCTCTCAGAGGGAACTGGCTTATGTGTGTGTGCTTATCTGGTATACCTATGGGCAAGTGGAGAGAGCCTCTTCTACCATGTTGATGCAACTGTCCAGTAATTCTTATCAGAATTATTGATAATCATTGAGCCACATGGGCTCATAGGTTGGCTGGCCATAGTGCAGAGTGCAATGCATAATGCTGTCCTATCGGGGTCTTTGTCCAGAGATCAGCTGGAAGCTGCAGACTATTTCGAAGACCCCACCAACCAGAAAGTTATTAGTCCTATCCAGAGTGAAGTGATCTGTCCAGGGAAAACAGATGTTTTGTGGAAGAACTGTGAGTTTCTGGTAAATCGGATGTGCCACCTGGAAAGCCTCATCCAGTCCCTGAAGGTGAACATCTTTCGTCTGCAAACTGAGAAAGACTTGAATCCACAGAAAACAGGTAGAGTGAGGAGAGCTGCCGGAAGTGTGGTCATGTGCGAGTGCTTGCTGAGTTTATAATTTTTTCCCTCTGCTCTTCTCATTCTCCCACCTAATGCCACTTCTGTGACATCCTGCAGCTCTACTGAAAGATCGGCTGAATATAATACAGGAGGAACATTCCAAAGATTTGAAGCTGTTGCATCTGGAGGTGATGAACTTGCGCCAACAGCTGAGAGATGTGAAGCAGGAGGAGGACAAGGCACAAGATGAGGTGCAGAGGCTGACTGCCACCCTGGAAATGGCCTCGGAGACAAAGGTTTGGGTGCAGTGTTTTGAAGTGCAGACTTGGGGGCCTGCCCATTAGCTCATGTTTAAGTGCCTAAAGTGCAGATGTTCTGTTGGATACCAGCCAGAGGGGCAGTAAACCCGCAAGACTGACTTTCAGAAATAGGAGACCTGGAAGTGAGGATTCCTGGAGCTTGACATTTCTCTGCATTGATAACGTAAAGCCCTGTGTGCTGTCAATCATTGTCCGGCGCCCTTGCTCTTGGCAGGGGATGGTGGTACACAACTAGGGGAATGAGGCAGAGGCCTCTTCTCCTAGAGCTCGTGTGCTGTTGAAAGAACAGGGGGAAAGTAGGAGTGTAGAAAATGGGGCAGGAGTAGGGACAGTAAGTGAATACTGCAGAAGAGGAGCTTTATGTTCAAGGCATCTGAGGGGCTTGAGGGACGAGTCTGTGGTGTGGCGCAGGTAGGCCCCAGGAAGGAGGCAGGACTCGAGCCAGACATTTAGGAAGTAAGTGAAGAGGTGAGGACATTTCAGGGAGTACCACAGAGGCAGCCTAGGATGGGGACTACTGGGAAGAGGACCTTAAAGTACTGCTTTGCTCCCGGGGAGCAGGCCGCCAGCCCATGTGACTGAACACGGTTTTTTGCAAGGCCCTCTGCCGTAGGGTGCTGTGGTAATTCTGTTGCAGGGACTTGTTCTTGGCAGGACACCACTGGAGCTAGGAGGGGGCCATGTGTTTTCGTCCTCAGCTCCTCATCTTGAATAACATTTGAAGCTAGAAAAAACAGTGCTTTAAAAAATTGAGAAATACCCTGTAAGAAAAATGCCTATCATTTCCCACCTTGTCCTCTGATTATTATTGAATTTTGCATGGGAGGTAGATATTTTGCATGGGAGGTAGATATGATTAATCACAATTTATGTTCCAAAAGGTTAAATGATAGGAGTCATTAATCAGAGAAATAAAATTACTTTCTTTAAAACCATCTTGTAGTAGTAACTACTTCAAACTTACAGTAATAAGAACTATTTATAACCACATGAAAACAGCTTTTACAATTTGCCAAAAGAAAGCCTAGATTTGAACTGATATACCTAGACAATTTCTTCCTGCTACTTTAGGTCATTTAGAACTTTTGTCCTTCTGTTTTTAGAAGAACTCAGCTATTATCGAAGAGGAGTTAAAAACCACCAAACGTAAAATGAACCTTAAAATTCAGGAGGTAAGATAAAGAATGCTGGAGGGTGTGTTGGAATTGCGGGAGGGAGATGAGGAACTAGAAGAGAACCAGGACCGTGCTGGGAAAGAGAAAGTGTCTGACTGTAGCAGGGAGACTACAGAAATGACACACGTGATTCTAGCGCAGGTGCCTGGCCGCACGTCACACCACAGACCTGCTTTGCCTGAATGTTGTTGCAAAACTAGAGCTAAACCAGTGCCTCTGAGCCAGCTGGGCAGTCACAGCCACATGCAGTGGCCCTTGCTCATGTGGCTTCTGTTCCATTCGGTCCAGTGGGCCCTCCGTCAAAGGCTTTTCCATCTAAAATTGTTTAAAGTGAAGGGAATTGATAAGCCTGCTCATGGCCTTGCCCCTTGAACCTTCATTTCTGCTGAAGGTTTGGAATTAGGAGGTGGGCTGCTATCAGGAGCCGTTGGACTAAAAGTGGCAGCTACAACAGCGCAGGAGTCAGAGCAGGTGCCTACTGTACAGGTCTGGCCGGCCCACACTATAGTATCCGCAGGCAGAATCAGTGCATCAGTCCCAGTCAGAGCATCAAATTATGTTCAGAGAGTCTTTTCTATGAGCCAGAGAAGCAGACGTGCTTCTTAGGAAATTTCTCATGAAAAGCTTTGTTTAAATTGATAATTGTGGTGCTTATGGTGGTAACTATTATTAACTAAAAAATTCTCCTATGTAGAGAAACTTATTTGCTATTAATTTGATAAAAGCCTGAGCACTCATAGTTTTAGAACATTAATAAAATTTCAGATATGTTCATGACCTGCCTTTTTTTCTTTTTTAATGGACTGCCTTTTAGAGAACTTTTAGGCTCATAGAAAAATTGTGGAAAACTGGGCATGGTGGCACACCTGTAATCCCAGCCCTTGGGAGGCTGAAAACAGGAGGATCACTACGAGTGATCTGTGTAGTGAGACCCTGTAGACCCTGTCCTAGATACATTAAAAAAAAAAAAAAAGGTGGTGAAAACATATAGTCCTCCTGTTAATGCTTTAGGAATGAGTACCTCAGGGGTATAATTATCTGTTTCTTTCCATAAACTCTTTGTGTGTAATTAAATATGAAAGAGGCAAATGCTCCTTTTCAAGTTACCATTATTTGGGGCCAGAGAGATAGCTCAGAGACATAAGCCCCTACCTGGCAAGCACAAGGACC